GTATCTAGTATCTTCTATGTTTCCTCTGGGGCCTGCAAAATCTAAGGTATTTACTATCTGGCCCTTGATGGAAAACCGCAGCCACCTGGAGCCAGGCCGAGAGGGTGAAGCGGGGCTTCTGTGGAGGGATGAGGCTGGGGGGCCCACAGGACCCCACGCAGGGGGGCGGCGGCTTCCGTGCGGGTCCGGGCAGCGGGCCTGAGGTGACCTGGCAGGCAGGGGCTGCGACAGGGCCCTGCCGGGCTTGGTCCTCACTGCCTGGGGAAGCCGGGCCAGCACTTCCCGCCCAGCCTCCCCCTCGGGCTTGCTCTCTGAGGCAGATGGGGAGGAGACGCAGAGAGTGCAGCGGCTGGGAGGGCTGGAGGTCTCACCAGGAATGTGTCAGCATCCCTAGTACTTCCCCTCATGGCTGCTGCAGTTCTGAGTAATTCTCTGATCGGCATCTGTCTGCAGCACTGGACTCCAGCTCCAGCGGGCAGGGACGTGGTCTGCTCTCCCGGGCACCTCCAGTCCCAGGCACATGGTCGGTGCTCCATCAGTACTTGCTGAGAACCAGTGAAGGAATCAACGAATGAGCAAATGAACACCCCCCACCCCCACGCCAATGCCTGGCCCAGTGCCTCGTGCAAAGTGGACGTACCCTTGGTGCCTGGAGGCCATCAGATGGGGCTGTGCCCAGTGAGCAGGGCAGTTCACCGGTGACGTGACTCTGGTCTCGGGGGACTCCTCACTGCAGCTGGCCCACCACAGCCCGCCCCCGAAGGCTGCCTTCAAGCGGGTGGCTCAAGCGACTGGCGCTGGCCAGCCCAGGGTGGGGGAGTCTCAGCTCAGTGAGCCTTTTGGCAGAACAAGGTCACGTTCATTCCCCTTTGTTTCCCCCTAGAAGCCCCAGTCACCACCTAGACCCTCGATGGGCAGGTCTGCAGAAACCCCTGGCCCAGAAGACCCCAGACACCACTGCCCTCTCCTGAGGGCATTTGAAATGGGGCTGAAGGGAGGGAGGCGGGGTCCAGACCCTCAGAATGCAGACGGGCTGCCGGGGATGGGGCCCCTGGGTTTTCCAGGCGATGTGAATTCAGGAGAAGGGGGGTCTGTGGCCTGGCCTCACCTCACCTCGCGTTGTCCCACCTACTCCAGGAATGAGGCCCTGCCTGGGCAGGTGGATGCCCCATCCCAGAATAGATGTGTCCAGAAGCTCGGCCCTTGGCCAGGTAGCCACCTGCCCACGTGGACCTGCTTTGCTTGGCCCCGTACGGTAGGGCCGCAGGGGGCCGGCCAGGGGGTGCCCACGCCACCCCTGGCTTGGAATGCAGCTCACCGGACCACCCTGCTGTGGTTGCTGAATACCGGCCTCCAAAGATGTCCACACCGTGATCCCCAGAACCTGTACGTATGTTCCCGTCCTTGGCAAAGGGGACTTTGCGGATGTGATCTTGATACGGGAGACGACCCTGGATCATCTGGTGGGCCCGGTGTCACCACGAGGGCCCTTGCAAGAGGCAGGAGGGTGAGTCAGAGAAGGCTGTGTGACCTTCAAAGCAGAGGCAGACAGTCAGAGACTTGAAGACACCACACGTAGAAGATGGAGAGAAGAACCACGAGCCACGAAAGCAATGGCCTCTGGGAGCTGGGAAAGGTGAGGAACATCCTCCCCTGGAGCTTCCAGAAGGAACCAGCCCTGCTCACAACCTGCCTTCAGCCCAGGGAGACTGATGTCAGCCTTCTGCCCTCCGGAACTGTGAGGTAATGAACTTGTGCTGCTTTAAGCGATGAAGTTCGGGGTAATCTGTGAAAGCAGCTGCCAGAAACCCACAGAGCTCCCAGCTCCTGCTGCCTTGGCGTCTACCCACAGGACCTGCTCCCTCTCTGGGGCTCTGCCGGGAGCCTTGCCAGGTGACGATCTGGGAAAATCCCATTCATCAAAGGCACGTCTTCCCGCCAGTCTCCACGAGACCTGCCTCGCCCGCCGGCAGAGGGGCTGCCCGGAGGGGGAGATTCCTGGGGCAACAGGAAAATACCTGCCCGTGTGCAACACCTCTCTCCCCACTGCATGACGCCCGGAATCTCTCCCCGCGGAGCATGGCCTTTGCTGCTTCCTGAGTAGGGTCATTCCGTCGGGGAGGTGCACGTTCCTCCGGAATCCCTCCTGAGGGCTGGCTCCTCAGCGGGGAGTGGGCGGCCACACGGCTCGGGGTTTCAGGAGGGCTCTGGGGAGTGGGGGCTGTGCCACAACCTACCCCACGGACGTGCCCCATCCGCCCTCCTCCTCCACACAGGCTCGTTCCCCACAGGGCAAAGCCGTTCCTGGCCCCGTCATGAGGAGAAGGGGTCTCCCCACTTCCAGGCCTGGACGCCACCAGCCCCACCTCCAACACACTCCTGTGGGAGGCAGTGCTGGGAAGAGACTCCCCTAGGGGGTCTTCCCAGAACTAGGGGGCCACGCCAGGTCCACACCGTGCTCAGGATGGCCCAGGCTTCCGGAGCCCCAAGCCTGAGAACCCCTCTGTACGGGCTGAACTGTGTCCCCCCAAATTCATACGCTGAAATCCCAACCCCCCCAAACCTCAGCCTGCGACTGTTTGGGGAGAGGTCTTTACAGAGGTGAGGTTAGAATGAGGCTGTCAGGGTGCTGGAGGGGAAGAGGCACCAGGGCGCGCGTGTGCACAGAGGAGCGGCCACATGGGGACACGGGGAGAGGATAGCCGTCAGCCAACCAAGGACAGAGGCCCCTGCAGAAAACAATGCCCTGGAGCCTTCATCTCGGCCCTCGGGCCCCCAGACCTGAGGAAACAAACCTCTGTGGCAGAGCCACCTAGTCTGCGGGGTCCCGTCACGGTGCACCGGCCTCAGGCTTGCCCTAGCCTGAGTGGCAGCCAGGGGACAGAGTGCCCAGGGATAATGACACGCACCTAGACACGACGGGCCAGGCTGAATGTACGAATGAGGCCCACGGTCCCACCTTTCAAATTCAGAAGTCTGAAGACAGCGCTAGGCCTGACTCACCCACAGTGGGACTCGCACAGGGAGTCCCTGGCAACGTCTGAGTCCCTCTCTGTCTGTTCTTGACTTTCCTTCTGCCTGTTACATGCCCGATCACAGCTCGCCTCTCACAGGCCACCGTGTTATTAAGTCCCCTTCAACGGAGTGTGCACGACTCGTGCAGGTAGGACACTGGACTTCCGTGACTCACTCACGCACACGTTCTGCAGGTACCAGCCACGTGGGTCCGTCTTTAATTATGTTAAATATTAATAAAAGTACAGCATGACTGCAATTCACTTACCATATCTTACATGACTAAGGGTGTACAATTTAATACAATCTGATATACAGCTTTTGAGAACGCAAATTAATTTCAATACCAGGGTGTGAGAAATGCTCCATTTTGCTTTGGTTTTGAATGACAGGCTTGAGAACCACCGCCCGGAACAGCGCCTGTGCCGCCTGTCACCAAGAGCCGGGCCTCCACCAAGAGGTAGCCAGGGCAACAGGCGTGCCCCTGGAGAAAGGCCCTCCAGAGGAAACTGTCTGATGGCATCGGCTGGCACAAAGGATGGGCCTGTGTATATAAAAAAAATCCGCATAATAAACCAAATAATATTGGAAATCATACGTCGGTCGTACTTCTGTAAGAAGCAGAATTACACTACATGTTGTTCACATGCACAGGAAGGCATCAGCAAAACCCCCTGCTGTAAGAACGGTCGGTGTGGCGAGTGAAACACGTACTGGACATGACAAGGTAACTGGCAGAGAAATTAATCTATAAAAGGGCTGTGTCCAGAGCGGGGGCGCGTCGGCACAGAGCTGAAGGGAACCCACTCAGAGGATGCGCCCGCACCCGCACACGCACACGCTGATGGCAAATAAATACACTCACACACTGAAGTGACGGCTCCCTAAAGCATCCTTGTGCTCAGGCCAGATTTCCCTGCTGGCTGCTGCGCCCAGTGCCGGCTGCAGAGAAAGGCCGGGATTGTCCCTGAAAGTGGGAGCTCAGGACACACAGCTCCTTCAGAGGCAGAAATACTCGCGGCCGTGCCAGTGCTGTGGGCCTCACACGGGCTGTGTGTCCCGCCTCCACGCACAGAAAGACGACAGCACCGGGGTCAGATGGCTGAGCAAATGCAGATCCCCTGGCCACTGAAGCCCAGTCTGTCTCCCTCCCGCAGGTTCCACTGGGGAATGTGGGTGTTGCGCTTTCTGACTTTGGTGGACGAGAGCTTGACCTGAAGACTTTGGTCGCCAGGAAGCTTCTCTTGACAACACTCGGGTGCAAAGCTTCATCCACGTCCCACCTGGGGCTGTGTGCCACACAGGTACAAGCATTCTTATCAATCTTCCCCAGGACTGCCAAGAAACGACGAGCCCTTCAGCCCATCCATCGGTATGCCAAGCTACCATGTGGCCTGGAAGATTCCATTAAGAGCATGGCTCCTGGCAATCTCGTTCCAAATCTCAACATAGCATGTTCAGCCTGAGTTCAGCTCGTGCGTTGTGTTTCTGAATCAGGACACGTGTATTTTGTACTTCCATAACCGGTTAAGGAACCCTGACCACACATGGTGGACAGTGTGGATAATAAACTCATTCCAGTGGGAGGGGGAGAAGCAGAGCCTGCAGCCAGCCAGAACTAAAAATGTAAAACCCTGCAGTTCTCCAATGACCTTATACACAGGATGAGGGCTTGAGTTACCTAGATTTTTCCATGAAATGTTCAATTCCTTGAGGTTGCACATTCTTGCATTAAGAGCAAAAATTTCCCTTCAATTATAAACTGAATTTCTTGAGAAAATATCTAAAGAGGCAGAAAAGAGAGCTTGGGCTAGTCGAATGCAGAAAGTGGTTTGTTTTAAATGCATTAAACCTAAGTCAAGTCTACAAGGACAGGACGGGAGGAGGTCAGAGAGATGAAGGTGCTGCCAACAACTGACTTACTTTTTTCCTCTTGGAAACGGTGATGTTAACAGGGTTTATCTCTGAAGAGACTGCAGGGCTGACTCTGGAGTAAAAGGGAAAAGCATGGAAGAGCCTCTGTTCTGGAAAGAGCTGCCGTTCCCCCTGATGAGGTCAGCAATCGTGACAAAATAGTGTCTTGAAAGTGAATGTGACGCAATCACAGCTGTGAACAGCCACCGCCCTCCAGCCTGGGCAACATAGTGAGACCTCATCTCTAGAAAAAACCAAAAACGTGACTGTGAAGTGTAAGTTCTGCCCAGGCCCTGGTGGGCTTCGTCGGATCCCAGACTCAAGCTCTCCGGACGGCGGAGGCAGCAGGGCCGGGCTGCCTTCCCGAGGCGCCCTCTCCACACGCCGTGCGGGGCCGGCCCACCTCGCCCGGCCGCTCCAGGCGGAACCGAATCCTTGAGGCAGCGGCTCCCACTGGCCTGAGAGGGAGGAGCTCTGGGGAGGGTGATCGCTGTTCTGTTCGACAGACCACCACAAAGGAAATTCTGAAATGGTTACAGTCGGCGTGTCCCCAGGGAGGGAGGGAGAGTCCCGCGGTTGTCCACGCCACGAGTGAAATGGTTCCCCGCGAAGAGAGGTTTTCAAAATCCTGGCAAGGGCGGCACTGCCGGGCCCGCCGCGAGCGCGCGAGCTCTCACGTCTTCCACGCGAACGCCTCGTCGGCGAGGACCTGCGCCAGCCGCGCGTTGAAAGGCCCGTAGAAGTCCCGCAGCATCTTCCGCGTGACCAGCCACATGGGCCCCAGGCTCCGGTCCTCGGGCCGCCGTGCGTTGGAGGCGGGGCTCTTGGTCATCAGGGCCTCCTGCTTCTCACTCAAGGGCCCTGCAATGAGAGGAGAAGCTGTGAGGCAGGGGCGCGGCGGGACGGAGAAGGGACTCCACGACAGCCCCGGCTACGCTTCGTGTGGAGACAAGCGTTTTCTTGAAGAAGAATGTGTTTGGGCGTCACGTTTCTTTGGCTGGATCTGTTTTGGAGCACTGAGGGAGGGCGGTGGAAGGACCACCGTGAAAGAGCAAAGAAACTCTTGCCGGCGCTGGACGCCCACCCTCAGGGAGCCCGGCCGGTATTCTGCGACGTGCGGCGTTCGCCTGAGGCTCTCCCTGAGGATTCACTGCCACCTGCCCTGCGTGGGCTGCTTTACCCGGCCGTCAGCCTGGCCCTGGGTGACTGCGCCACCTGCCGGGCAGAGTCCCTGGGCTTAGGATTCTGTGCTAATCAGCCACTGGAAATTCTGCCCAGTCATTTCTACTCCAGGCTGCTGAGGCAAAGGGCCCCAGGCCTGGCCATCTCGCACCCTAAGTGTCTTGCTGTGAAGTGGCCGTAGGGAGGCTGGTGGGGAGTAGACCGCCAGGGCCCAGAGATCCCACTGGCTGTACCTCCACCTGCAGCAAAGACACCAGTAGGAGAGACCCTGGAACAAGCCAGAGGGCGCTGCCACCTCCACACTCCAGCCCTCTGGACCACGGCCTCCCCAGTTCAACCCTCCCAGTCGCTGCGCAGGCCTCTTTACCCTGGGGCTCTCAGGATATGGCCGGAGTCCTTAGCTCATACATAGGAAAAGGCTGTCCCAGTGTCCCAAGGTCATGTGAGATACAGAAGTGGCCTTACTGTCACCTTAAGGGACAAAAGACAAGCTCCAAGTGGTACAAAGTCAACGTGTGGCCAGATCAAAGAGAAATGGGCCTAGGCCTTATAGGCCTCAGAAGGGGAAGAAACAGTTAACACCTCATCATGTGAGCAGCTGTCCAAGAAAGAGGAGAAACAAGAACAAACAATTAAAGGGTTCCCAGTCCCAGTGGTGGGCAGGTATATTTAAAGAAAGATTCGATTAACAAAATTTCCAGGCAGGATCATTAGACAGGGCTGGAGGAGGTGTCCTGGGAAGGAGCTCGGCTCATTCCGACGCTACTCCAGCCCTCCGAGCAGTCCTGGGTGTCCCGTCACACGGCCAGCACTCCTTACCTGTGTACACACCTCTGCCAGCCACTGCCATGGCCAGCATTGTGGCCTATTGTCACCAAGTGCCTCTTGGGACTGTGGGGGCTGGAATCCTGATGCTGAGGACAGGCACCCCCTCCCCAGAGGTCCAGCAGCCTAAACCCAGCCAAATGGCTTTGACCCCAGGGATCCCCAGCAACACCTGAGACGCTGCAACGGCCTGTCTGTTCCCTGATCCGACCTGTGTCCTGTTCCAGCCACCCACTGACGCCACGTCGGTCCTTCAGAGCTCAGCTCTCAGACCCTTTCCTTCCACAGAGGCTTCCCTGCCTCCTTCTGCAGCTGGGGTCTCAACTCATCAGCATGTACCTTTTGCGATGACGATAACCTTCCCCATGTTGTCCTACCTGTCACTTGGTTAGGTGAGCTGTGGCTTCCTCCTCTCCCTTCCCTAGACCATAAGCTCTCAGAGGGGGCCACCTTCCTGTGCACCCAGGGAGTCCCTCACCATACCATGCACAACGACCTGTGTGCAGCTGGTGCTCCATAATGGCACTGAACAGGCCTCCCGGCTCAGCCCGCCCCTCCCAGCGTGCCGAGTCTTTGTTTGGCACAGAGCTCCCAGCAGAGCCACATCCACAGAGCTCGTGCTCTGCCCATCGGTCTGAGGATGACGCTCGTACCTAGGTTCAGAAACTGGAAGACCTTGTGCATGGTGTACTTGACGTTGGATGCGTGATCTTCCAGGCGCAGAATGAGAAACTGTTCCTTGTTAAAAACAGTGAGCCAGTCCAGGAGGTACACCGCATACAGCCCGACCTGCAGCCGCACCTAGGACCACAGACAGGCGTTACTAGAGGAGTAATACCAACACCCTAAGGCGCTTCCCACAAGTGCTGCAGTATTCTGTTATAAACCACGAGAGAGTTATCCCAGCAAACAGCCACCTTCGGAAGCTGGATTTTAACACAGTGTGCTCCTGCTTCATAAGGGGCTTTGTGCCACATGTGCAAAGAATTCGCACACCGAGGGTTGCACTTAATCCCCACAGCCACCCTGCAGGTAGCTCCACGCCTTCATTTCACAGGTGAGGACTGACGCGCCAGGAGGAGGTCAAGGTTTTGCATGTCCCTCTGCTCCCGGTGCAGCCTCCATGCCCAGCACACAATGGGCTGTGACAAATCAACCGCGGACGCCGCACAGACAAGCTGGTGAGTGGACAGCCAGGGCCTGTGTCGTGGGAACACTGTGACTGAGAGGGCGTGTGTACGTCCCAGTCTGATCAGCACCCATGAAGCCCACAGGCAGACGCCGGACTCCGATCCCCTCTCCTCCCCACCCATCCCCCGGCACTCACCCTTCTGCTCCTGTTCTCCTGCCAGGCCGCACCTGCGTGGCGGACACAACCTACCCAAAGACTGGTCTGGCCCTGGTCCATGGTGCCCGGAGGTGATCTCCAGAGCCCTGCTGTCCTGCCTGACAGGAGTGTCTTGGTTTGCCAGGGGTTTGGCCAACACTGATTTACGACAGAGCTTTGGGCCACATGGTATCAGTTCTGACTGGAGGGACTGCGGACTCAAGGTCAGCCACCTGAGCAGTATGCGACTGAGCCCCAGTAAAACCCTGGACACCAAAGGCGGGGGGTGGCAATACCCCAGGAGTACTGTCACACCTCCTGGCCAGGAGGCGCTGACACCATCCGCAGCTCCACAGGCAGAGAACAACTCTCAGCTCTGCCCCGGGACCCTGCCCCATGCGCTTCCTCCCTTGGCTGATTTTAACCTGCATCCTGTCCCTGTAATAAATCGTCACAGCCTTCAGTACCTTCTGGGGGCCCTAGAAAATCACTGAACCTGAGAGGGAGCTGGGGGACCTGCATTCTGAACTTGCAACTGGTGTCGGAAGTGACAGCATTCTTGGGGACTGTTCTAAACTTGCAGTTCACTCTAAACTCTTGGCAAAGCTCCAAGAAAAAAGGGCCTCCTCCCCTTTTGCTGGGAGGCCTCCTTCTCCAGGCTTCTCCTCGTGCCCCTTCCCCAGGTGCTCAGGGACCCCACCCCACCCATCTGTGGTCTTCCTCATCCCCCACCTCTCCCCAGTTCACACCATGCCCTGTGTTCACACCCCATCAACACCTGGCCAGTCTTCCCTCCTCTGGTCTCTGCATTCCCATCCCATACCCGGCCACCAGCACGAGCTTCAAAACCAGCGACCTGGCCACAGCCAGCCCCCCATGGCTCTCTTCCTGACCAGGCCACAGCCAGCCCCCCATGGGTCTCTTCCTGTAGAAAGTCCTCAGTCTGGTGTGAACTTCCAGCTCAGCCCCTCCCACGGGGAGCGCTCCCTGGGCTCTCCTCGGAGTTCTCACTTCTTTAGGCAGATGTCATACGTCACTCTTCCTTCTCTGCCCAGCCTGACCTTACGCGCCTCGAGGGCAGGGACCATGGCTTCTCCGTCGTCCCATCTTGCACAAGGCCCTGCACCCTGGCACTCGACGTGTTTCTCGGGTGGCACTGCTGAACATGGTGACAGCAATAAGACGATGAAACATTGGACAAAATACGTGCAGACACTAACTACTTTCATCTCTCACTATTCCTTTGCCATTGTTATTTTTCTAACCACGTAGGAGGATGAGGAGGAGGAAAAACAATTAGAGGGGATAGCTGTCTCCAAAATACACAAGCTGTCTCTGACCCACACTTTGTTGCTACCTGACACACCAGCGCATAAAAAGCCCTCAAGCTGGGCCGAAGCTAGGGAGAAAATGAGTTCGTGCCAGTCTCGGAAATCAGTGCATGTCGCCCCCGACGCAGAAGAACCATTGCAGGAACATCTGTTGTTAGTCGTGGGCCTCACGGGGCTTTCAGTCCTCCCTGGTGGCTCCCAGCCCACCCCTCCCAGGAAGACCAGTCTGACAAGGTTTCTCTCTTCCAGGGAACCTGCCTTCGCAACTGGAGAACTTTCTAGAAGGAAAGTGTTCGTGGCAGGCTGGAGGTGTTTTAAAGCAGCTGTAGTCTGTCCCTACACCTGGCCGTGGTGACGGTATGTTTCCCTGAAACCTCGCTGTGCCATCCTCGTGGGAGCCTCCTCCGCTGACGCAGGAGGACGGAGACCTGCCGGCGGAATCGCGCCCTGCAGCAGGGTCTTCCTCGACAGGCAACAGGAGGGGCTGCTCTGGGAAGGGGATGAAGCCTCAGGGGCCGGAGCTGAGGGAGCCTTCCTGGGCACTCAGTGGGCTCCCAGGGGGCTGGCTCCCCGGCCCCCCAGACACCCCCTCTTCTCTGCCCACCCTCCAGCCCCCTTTCCAGTCAGGTGACAGTTTCTGGTTCGCGCATCACTGTCACAACCATGCACCACAAAGACGCCACTCCGAACCCTTTTGTCCTCACCTTTTCCCAGTACAGGACAGAGAATCAAAACAAAACAAAAATTGTTAAAGAAGGTAGCTAGGGCAAGTGCCTAAGATGTTTAACACTGGAAAACGCGAGCGCTGAGAGAAGCCCCTGAGCGTGTCTGCACCAGCTGACTCCCAACAGAACAGAGGCCCGGGGAGCGGCAGGGGCCTGCCCAGGGTCAGCACCTCGGAGCAGGACCTGAAGCCGGGTCCCGCGTGCACGCAGGGCTCACTCCCCACACAGGGAGCCCAGGGAAGAGCGAGCTCCACAGGAGAGCAAAGCTGGGCACGGTCCCAGCCCTGGCCGAGCCTCTCTGTCCCCAACTAGAGATTTCACTGGGACTCCCCCTAACCTGAGTTCAAGCGTGTGTCGGGCACCCCACTAGGCAATGGTGACATGCTGCTAACAGACATGCCCTGGCCTCAGGGAGCTTGCAGTCTAGTGGCAGAGACAGCTCAACTGGTAAAGAAACAAACATCTGTGATCACCAACTGTGATACACGCCATGGAGAAAACTAGTGGAGACAACAGAAGGTCAGAGTAGAGCAGGACCAGAAGGAAGAGAAGGCCCCAGCAACCAGAAGCAGGTCCCCAGGAGAGGAGGAGGAGGAGGAGGATCAGGAGAAGGCACCCAGGTGGTTCTCAAGCCTGCGCACGCAACACCCAGAGGGCCTGTCCGACAGAGGATGGGCCCTGCCTCGCGCTTCTGATTCAGACAGTCTGGGGAGGGCCTGAACATGTTCTGACAACTTCCCTGGGGCTGCGGCTGCTGCAGGTCCCGGGACCAGGACTTGCAGGTCCCTGCTGCGAGGACGCACCAGGGAGAGGTGCTACAGGGCCGTGATGGAGCCGGGCGGGGCCGGTGGGCACACCTGCATCCGGGCGCCACAGGAAGGCAGCGGATGCCTTCAGCAGGGTGTGCCAGGGCCCAGTGGGTCTCACAAAGCTGCCCTCCCAGTGCTGTGGCTGGACGGAAATCAGCTTCTCCTCCCAGAAATGAAAATTCTCCTCTAAGAGGAGGGTTTCTGATGGCTTCCTAACTACTCTTCCTCTCCAGGGACCAGAGATGGAGATGATTAAGGGACTATCTGTCACCACCACATCTGTCCTGCCCACTGTTCTTGTCCCTGGGCATCTCCCTTTGACCAGAGGCCCCTGCAAAGCTACTGTCTTGTCACCCTCCGAAAAACACAGAATTGCATGTAAAAGCACATGCCTCCTGCCGGCTCGAACCCTGGCTGTAGGAGCCAGCTGCCAAGGTGGCAACTCCCTGAGTTCAAAGGCCGTCAGATCTGAGATTGAACCTGAGCCTGCCTGTTATGCGTTATAGGTGGGAGAGTTGACTTCTGTGAGCCTCAGTATCCCCATCTGTGAAACGGGGATGGATTTCAGAGGATCTGTGGGCACTGAAGGAGATGGTGCATTGGAAGGGCCTGGGACAGTGCCTGGCAGTAATAAGCAAAGGTCAGGTCCCTGTCCCCTTCCTACTGCTGGTCCAGGAGCAGGATCTGCAGGTCCCTGCCCTGAGGACCCACCAGGACGAGTGTGCTACACCCAGAGGAAAAGAACATCTTAGCAGGGACAGAGAAGAATCTGAGCAGCCCAGCTCTGTCCCCCACCCCAGTTTATTGCCAGTAGATCACAATCACACCTCTCTGCACGACTGTCCTCTTCATCAAAACTAAGCATGGAAATGCACGAGTTTCCCTGTTTCTTCGGATGTTCACTTCCTTATGAAGGCTCCGTGCCATGTAAAACTTATACGAAATAAATTCTAGGCTTTTCTCTTGTTAATCTGTCTTTTTTTATAGGTACCTCAGCCATGAAACCAGCAACAGGTGAGAAAAGAGATTTCTTTTCAAGACCCTCCCGTGGGGTCCCATTTCTCTCATGACGAGGTCTAGACTCACCCTGAGGCTCACCACGTCCCCGGGGACGCAGCCCGACTCGCCAGGCACCCGAGCCCCTCCCTCACGCCCCGTCTCTCGCACACAGGATCTCGGGCTCTGGGTGGCAGGTGGTCCCGGTGCTGGCCACTCGGCCTCTGCACACGCTGCTCTTGTTCCCTGATGACTCATCCTCTAGGACTCGGCACAGACATTTGCCCTCCTGGGAACCCGCCTGATGCCCTGTTCTCAGACGGCCCCTGCCCCCTGCCCAGCCTCATCCACTCTCCCTGCTGGCTGTGCAGGATGGCAAGGACCACGCTTGTCCCGGCTATGCTGCGGCCCCAGGACCCAGCACCACGCACAGAACACAGTGGGACAGATGAACACAGGGATGCGAGACAGAACCATCGACCCCAATCCTTCTAACAGCCTGGCAAAGCAGCGCCATTACCCCATTTTATGACAAAGCAACTGGTCTCAGAGAGGCCAAGACAACTGCCCAGAGTCACATAGTCAGTGAACACCCCAGGTGGGGACAGAACCCACACCACTGTCTGCATCGGAGCCCACTCTGCCCAGCACTGCAGCCGGGTCCTGCGGTTATCAGTGTCCCTGCCACACCTTCCCTGCTGAACCAGAGTCCAGCAGCACAGCCTGGAGCCCCACCTGCTGCCTCTGCACACTGCCTTCCAGATACCACGGCCTCGGTGACAAGGAAGGGGGAGCAACGCCTTCTGATCTGAGCCCCACCGCCCCTGGGGGCTCCGGGACTGCACAGCGGGTCTGCCCGTGCCTTGCCACACGGCAAGTTGGACAGAGCCGGGCTCGTAAAGGCAGCTGCAGCAGCTTGGCTGCGGAAGGAAGAGGTGTCCAGCTGCACAAGCCCTCCCACGAAGCCCTCAGGATAACCATCAATCCAACCTGGGGAGCCCAGTCTAGAAAACCAGCCCCCAGCTAAAAGGTGCTGAATTCACCATTAATATTTGCATTAAAGAAGGCTAGGTATTTACAGATATAGTCCTAAAGGGAAAAGAAAAGATAGTGGGAACAACAGAAAATATTTTTTAATTAAGACCCTGTCAAAGAAGCCTTGAAAGTCATTGGTGAGTAATTTTTTTAAACCAACAAAACAATCCACCGCTGATAGAGAGGATGCTCTTAAGAGAATTTGAGAGCCGGGTGTCCTCGTGTCTGCCGGTACTAATTGCTGGGTGTGTTTTTAGAGCCTCACTAAATGGCAATCTTTCTAAATGCACCCTCATTCTCCCGCTGAGGGAGGAGACAGGAGGTGGGGGTGACCAGCAGGGAGGAAGGCAGGGAGCCAGCCAAAGAGCCATCGTTTTCAGTTTTTACATCCGTGAATAATGGGGAACAGCATTTGCACATTAAAACACTTCTGTGCTAAACCCCAACCCACAATGCCACTTGCATGCTAACACACGCGGCGGTACGCACGGGCATGGCGTTGTTGAGGGTGTTGTTGTAGACGCAGGCGCGCAGGGAATAATCAAGCATGCAATTTTCAAACAGCTGCAGTGCTTCTGTCACTTTCTCGTGGAAGTCATCTGCAGATTTATTCGAACTTGCGAAGTAGAGATAGTCTGAGTACAACCTGTGAATAAAATAAATGGATATTTTTACCACCCATGAATGTGCAATCGCGCCATCTGGATGACAATGAAGATCAATGCACAATGACATTATTTAGTTTTGCTCATTAAAGCACTATTTCTCCTCCTTCCCTTGCAGTTGGGCCATCTCCCTCCCTCCCCCGCAGCCCCGCCCTTCACATGGCCTTCCACGCTCTCCGGCCGGACATGTCTGCACCGGCCCCAAACAAACCACCAGCGGTTTTTATGTTGCTGCTCTTTCTGGTCCTCTCAGGCCCTGGCTCTGTCTTCTCCGTAACAGTGAAGCTTCAAAACAACAACCGGATCACAAAAATCGTACAGTAGCAAAGGGAGGCCATGAAAATTTTATGCACCTTCCCGTTCCTCTCTCCTCTATTGGAGGGAACAAAAACAAGAGCATCTGTTGCTCTCGCAGTGTTACAATTCCACATGAAATCCCTGGCCCTTCTCACAGACGTTCCTGACGCTTTAAAAAAATTATGAAATGTGTCTTTCTAGACTGGTAGGGACCTATTTTTTAACACCATGTAAAAGCATCCCCACATACGCATGTGAACACCTGCAGCCTTACGTGTTTCCCCGAAGACACACATCTGTTCACACAGACACCACCGCACGATGTAAGAATGCTGTCGTACACGAACCGCCAGTCCTCCTTAATAAGACTCCAGGCTCCTTGGAATCCTCTTGCCAGCTTCCGTGTCCATCTCTGCATCCCCCCCGCTTTAGCAAGAACCCTGCTGGTGAGTTAGATTTATGGGACGCTACTGTTTTAGACTGAGCCCTGGCACCAGGCCCCGACAGACCAGGCCAAACCAAATCAGAACAGAGTCACTCCTGCTGGGCACCACGGCCAGTTTTCAAAAAATAGGAGATTTACAGCAAGCAGTCACCAGGGGCCAGACAACTTGAGCCGGCATGATAAAGAAGTCCCCTCTGCCTCAACCCTATTAGGAAAGTCACTCAGAAATGACCAATCCACTCTTTGTCCCCTGTTTCTGCTGCGTCAGCCCTTTCCTGCTTACACAGCCCACCTCCTCCGCTCGGCCAATAGGAACACCTTTCTATTGCAAGCATGGATGCTGCCCCATTCGTGAATTGTGCTAATAAAAAGCTAATAAGATCTTTAAACTAAATTTGTTCAAATCTGCACTGCTAAGTTGGGTTAGCCAGAATCCACCACCCTTGACAACTAATACTCCATATCTGATCAGTTCCTGTTGTCCACCATCCCCAGGTGGCATCTGGCCACCTGGCCTGTCTTCAACAAGAATCCCATCAGGTCGTTAGGTCGGTTTAGCCAGAATCCTCCCCCACCCACTTACCCTTGAGGTTTCCCTTAGTAATTTTCCATCCACCGGCCCCTCACCCTGCTCCTCGGCTACGAAGCCCTCACTTTTTCCCTTGTTGCGTTTGGAGTTGAGCCCAATCTCTCTCCTCCACCACACACGCCATCGCAGCAGTCCCTATACCTATCGTAATAGTCTCAGATAAAGTCTGCGTTACTGTTTTAACAAATGTCAGAACGGATTTTTCTTTAACAGAACTTCCAATTTGTGAGTTTCCTACTCTTTCTTCTCCCCTGTTTCTACTTGCAGAGAGTGTATTTCCTTTTTTTTTGGTTTTCAAAAAAAAAACCTCTATGTGTTTAGACATTTCTCCCTACTCTCTCTTCTTGCACACACACCTGACTGTGACCCCACAGCTATGCTCAGCGACCCCCACACTCAGAGCCCCCAGCTGCATCGGCTGCACCTCCTGCCGGGGGGTGAAACTGGGCTCGTGGAAATCACGACCCTACGGCCCCATGGATTCAGACTTCTCTCTTCTCTCAGCTCCACACTTCCTGTCCCCTCACCTCCAACCTGGCTCCCCTTTTTCCAGTGACTCTATGCACCCACATATGTGGGGGTTTTAACATCTGTAAGATCTGCCAGTCGCACCCAGCGCTTCCGTCCCCAAGACTCAGCCACACACCGTCCTGCAGAAACTGTGCACCCTCATTGCACGGGGCTGCTGCGCATGCTCCTTTTCCACTGCCCTCTCCTCTAATCACAGTCATGATACGGGAGCGTCCCTTCTTAGGGACAGGCCAGATCGTGTCCACCCCTATATTCCCCCTGCCCTTCGCACATGTGATGCCTTTACCACGGCCCTTTAGAATTTATCCACGGCCAGTGTCCACAGAGGACGCCTCCTAGAAGTCTTGAGATGTTCGGGATCTGCCCACAGATTGCCTAGAACCCAAACACACGCCAGAACAGGACTGTTTTGTCTGTCCCAGCCTGGTCAGTCACTGTCCCAAAGGACTTGCCTCAAGACTAGTCACCAAAGATGCTCAGCGGCTCGAGGGTGGGCTCCCCCGGACCCACGCTCCTCTGAGTACACTCCCCAGGACCACAGCACATTCCCCCTGACTGGTGCCCCCAACACCGCCTGTGCTGTTTTCGAAACTGGAACATGCATCAAGACTGAAACACGGTGCCCGTCACTGCAGGGTCGGTCATAGTCAGAATAACCTGAATGGCTGATCGATAAATGCCCACATCAGACCTGCGTGAACCTTTAAGAGCAGCTCGGCTGTATGCACTGAGGGGTTCCACGCGGCACTTCGATGGGGTGTCCTATCAGTCCTACCAGTGTGATGGCTCAGCCCAGGAGACTACATCAATGAGAAGTAACAGATGCTTATGAAACTGTCATCAAATCCTATATTTAATAAGTCCAAGCCTAGAGTTTTTCCAAAGATGAGCGCAGAACTCTCCAAATTGCTTGGTGGAACTGGAATTGTATCACATAAATTACCTCATAAAAACACAATCACTGGCTCAAGGTTTCCATACTGACATTTTTGAGATTTTTCTTTATGGTGGTAATATTTCTACTAGATATCTGGCTTATAAATAAAACAAAAGCATCTAAGCCTGCCTCAATTTTAAATACAAAGTCACTTTATAAAGAATCTGCTGATTCTACACAATTCTGTGTACATGAAGGAGTAATCCCTGGAAGAAAACTGGGACATGTCCAGTGTCCCAACCAGGGGAGCTCACTCCTACCAGGTGAGACTACTGACTTTCATCTGTCAGGGGTGTGCTGAAATGAACTCACACCCCCACTTCCTGTGAGCCACGTTCATAGCTTTTCAGAGCTAGGCCAGGTCCCTTCCTCGGCAGGATGGGAAGAGACATCTTTGGCCCCTCGGTCACCTCCGAGTATCTTGGATCTGGCCACAGAATCGGTGGTGAGCTCTGGGATTCCCTGGAGCCCCACTGCCAGGATCGTGCTGGGAAGTCCTTCTCGCCCTGGCCTGTCACAAACCTGAACAGGAACTGAATCGCCAAAACAAATGGCCACCATCTCCCACGTGGATTCCCTAGTTGGCTGAATAGCGACCACCAAAAAGATATGTCTAAGGCTTAATCTCTGGTACCTGTGAATGTGATATTATTTGGAAATTGGGTCTTTGTAGATGTACTTAAATCCAGGATCTTGAGACAAGATCATCCTGATTCAGGGTGGGTCCTAAATCCAGTGGCTGGTGTCCTTATAAAAACAGGAGAGATCACAGACACACGAGAACACCACATGCAGACAGAGCTGGGAACTGGGGTGATGCATCCACCAGCCAAGGAACACCGGGGACTGCTGGAAGCCACTGGCAGCCGGGAGAAAGGCCTGGGACAGATTCGCCCTCCGGGCCACCAGAGGGAACCAACCCTGCACACATCTTGATTTCAGATTTCTGGCCTCCAGAATAAATTTGCTTTAAGCAGCTAAGTTTGTAGTAATTTATTACAACAGCCCTAGGAACCAACACAGATTCTAAACCCCGATTCCAAAGGAAGACTAAGGAGTTACTTTTATTGACAACTCTCTGGGACCCCGAAACAGTGGCCCGAGTGTGCAGGACTGCGGCCGTGTGGCCAGGTTTCCCGCAAATGCACAACAGCAGCGCTCACCTTCCGGGGAACGCTGTCTGGGGGGAGCATCAGGCTAACGCCTCCTAAAAACGTGTTCAATAAACAACGCTGCACCTTCCCCCACAGCTACTCTCTGGGGAAAAAGTAAGTTAATGACCTTGGATGAGTGAAAGCCACTTGGATGGGTTAAAGCCACTCAGAAAACGCTGAGAAAGACAGCAAATGCATCAAGAATAAGTATCCGACGGACCTCACAAAGCTGGGGCAGACACACCAGGTAATAGCTGAAATGTAAACAGACAAACCTCAATGCCCACCTTTTGGTGCATCAGATCAACTGTGCAATGACTTAGTCGGGGAAAGAGACCAACATGGAGACACAAGAGCTCGTGATGAATCATCGCAGAACTGCAGGGACGCTCATGCCACCTCAGGATGCATTAACAGAGGCATGGCATCAAGAACACGGGAGGGTAGAGCAAAGTGACAGGCGGCTCAGGGCCTGCAAGGACGTTTGCCTTCAGTGCTGGGCACCAAGTAGTGAAGGGAAAGGAGCTGCTGTCCCTGGAGATGCAAAGACTCAGCGGGAAGACCTGTCCCACACCCCTGAAGGACAGACCAGTGGGTAAGGTTCGGGAAGAAAGACTGGTTTCATACAGGGAGAAATTTCTCCAGTTAGGGCAGTGCAGTGGCTGGTCTAGGCTGGAGGGGAGCGAGGGCTCCGGGGTAGCACAGGGTGGAGGGCCTGACACCCTCCCAGGCCTAAGTTTCAGGGCTGCCCAGGCCACTCCTGCTGAACCTCATTTTCTTACTCTCAAACCACCCAGAACAGATGGGTGTTGCATTTGGCCAGGACCGTTTCCAACGGCAATTCCAAATATAAGTCCAGATCTGTTCCAGGCCTTCTGTGCTGCGGTTATTTTAGAGGCTGCTGGTGCGGCCTGTGGGGTGCTGCTTGGCCCCTTTCCTGTGGCATGCAGGGTCCCGGGCCCCCCGAGGGGCAGTGGGACAGGATGTGTGTGTGTTGAGGGGAGGAGGCTCCCTCAACCTGGTGCCTC